TTGTTTTGTTCTTAATTTTTAAGCAATTTCAGCCTCAGTGTTCATATAAAATATGTAAAAAAGTGTATATATGTATAAATTTATATAGAACACGTCAAAATAAGAGATTGTGAAAATGTATTTCCTTGTTACGTCGCGTGACTCTGGTCGACTGAAACTAACTAAAAACCATTGTCAATATAGGCCTATATTCAAAGCATACGGTACCTGTCTCTTATACACATCTAGATGTGTATAAGAGACAGGGTAAGATCCCTATCGAAGGAAGGGGTTGATGCCTCGCGCCCTCTGGTGTTTGGATCTCTAACAGCATAATTAGAAGTAAAGTAGTTGAAAGTTTATGTTGAATAGTTTACAGTTGTTTAGACGTTTTAAATGTTAATAAAACTTACCCTGTGTTTGCAAAGTTGGTCCAGTATCTCATAAACTCCACCGAAAAATTGCGGTCAATGTCAGACGGCTGTTCTAAAGAGTAGATAGGTGTTCCATTTAGAAAAGGCAACCCGAACACAAATGGAAGTTCTTCGGCATGACTAGCTCCAAGCCAGTCAAAATCGAGACCATATATCGAAACTTTCGGAGTATGAGACATCACATAAGCATACACTTTGTTACCAACTGAGGCATGCGCGCGCTGTACTGCGTCACTTGGACAGACAAACTGAAAATCTGTGGCCAATCGAACACTTGAATCGAAAAAGTTAGCTTCAGGGTCGTCTGCTTGAGACCAGTCGGTGTATTCGAAATATATAGAGTCCAAAATAAGAGGATTTGATGCTTCTTCAATTGGAACAAAAAGCACTGGAATAAGATAAAGGAACTCGGATTTGGAAACTTTAGGAGTATCTGGTGATAGGTAGTTGTATAGGTTAAAGAAGGAAAATGTTCCTTCATCCTTATTTGTTCCAATGATGATGTTTGTATCAGTTTTAAACTCTTCATTTTGTATCAGAATCTCTGGACTGCTTTCAATAAATATTCCGTCTACTACGGGCCCCGGATAAATAGTTATCTATTAGCATAAAAAAATATTAAAATTATTTGAAAATTACAGGTTTACAGGAATACAGCCTATTTATTTAGTAAATGAATGTATTTGCCAAAATACCCGATTAGGCAATTTGTTAGAGGTATAGTTTTCTTTATTGTATTCTTTTAATACATTGATGATTTACATTGTATAATACATCAATTGAACCAACCACACTATTTTCTATAGTGTGTAATTATTAGCATTATTAACAACATATTCATTAGACCCCTTTGTTTGAATTTGATACTGTTTCTTCATACTAAATATAACAATAAATTTGAGTTGATTGGCTCAAAAAGATAAATACATACTATATACCGTACAAATTCAAAGTTTAAATTTTAAAACCAGTTGCAAGTGGCCGAACACCTAAAATATTGTAATGAATGCCATGGCATTAATAGGTCTTATACTTCTACAAGAATATTGTCTATTTTGGTTACATGAAAACATAATTAAATCACAATTATCTTACCCCAACAGAAGCATCTACAACAGCTCCAGGATCGACACCTTTCATGCATTCTACAAATGCATTGCTATCCGTAAATTCACAGCCTACTTTCCTACCAATGGTGATTGCTAAATTTTTGGATTCTTCCCGTTCTCTATAAGCCCAATCACAAAGAGCAGTTCCACTCTGAAATTTATAATCCAATGTATGTATGCTGGCAAATTAAGGACACTGACAAAGTTGGCATAGAACAAAAAATGTCATCTATAGAAATGTTTGTCTGCTGTTTTGACTCAAATGTGTATCGTCTTTTGACGATACACATTATTTTTAGGAAAAGATTGATACATAATATATATTATAGTATATAAAATCTTTCATAGGATAATAATTATTTATATCACTGTATAATAATAACATTCATTACTATTAATAAAAAATACTACCGGTACTACTGCTAGCACTACCACCACCACCGCCGCCGCCGCTGCCAGCAGCAACTGCAGCAGTAGCAGTAGTAGTAGCAATAGCAATAGCATCAGTAGCAGTAGAAGAGCAGTAGTAGTAGCATCAGTAGCATTTATCAATCAATCATACATACCTCTAAAATCGCTTGGCTAAAATAATCCCAACTTTGCTTTGAGAGGAGATGATAATCTACACTGGCCGATCCAGCACTTTCACCGAAGATCGTCACACGTGATGGATCACCTCCGAATGCTGTGTAATGTAACAACAATTAATTTTTGAACAGTGTAAATTCTACAAAATATTACGTTCAGAAACAAACGTGTTACTGGTATCAACATTACATTATTATTTCAATATTTGCAAAAAATGATACAATTTTTAAAACATCAAGGCAAAAATAGTCACATCAATGCTATGTGATACAGCAAGAAAAAGTAATTGAAGCTGGATTTATGAATATTCGCGAAAAATGCCGTCTTTAGCGAGGCTGTTGGGGGGGGGGGGGGGGGGAGCGCTAGATATTCGCAGGAGGTCCCAGAAAGAAAAAGGTCAAAAGGTCACTCCTGTATAAATGAATGAAACACATTTAAGTTACTTGGGGAACCGTCTTCTCTCTTGTCACCCTTTCACACAGGCTCCTCTTAAAATGTGTTTCGTGTTAGGCAAATGCAGCACGCCGACAAAAATACCACCACTGTTACACTTTTCGGAACGTGGTAAGCTTTTTTAATCATAGGCCTATCTGTAACTTATTTCGACAATCCGACATTCTTAATTTTTTGGCAGATTTCAGACTCCAAATGTTCTTAATTTACACACATACAAAAGTATTATTGTACATTGGTAACAGTGGCCCCGGTAAAAATGGCCTCTCAAAAAAAGACCCAGAAAAAATGGCCCAGAAAAAAGGCCCTGGTATAAATGGCCCCAAATGACACACCTACTGTACTGTATTATAAAGGGTATTACATAGTTGCACCTACAGCACATAAGGTACAGATATAATTTTTTTGGTTTTTTTCTAGATTTTTAAAATAAAAATCTCATTTGACATTTTATCTCAGCCTCAATTTTTCTTTGTTTTGTTCTTAATTTTTAAGCAATTTCAGCCTCAGTGTTCATATAAAATATGTAAAAAAGTGTATATATGTATAAATTTATATAGAACACGTCAAAATAAGAGATTGTGAAAATGTATTTCCTTGTTACGTCGCGTGACTCTGGTCGACTGAAACTAACTAAAAACCATTGTCAATATAGGCCTATATTCAAAGCATACCTAAAGCTCACTTAACTGTGTAAGCTTATTGTACTTGTTTTGTGTTGCTTGGTGTTTTCTTATAATATAGTTTTTCCACCAGTATTATATGCACACTTACCTATACTAGGATGCACTAGACCTATATTACTACACTGGGCAATGCTATTCGATAAAGAGAGGAAATACTATATTGTGGTTGATTATGACAATATTGCTTGAATATTATTTGAGAGACAAATTTGAAATTCAGTCCGAGTTTAAATAAGGCCAAAACAGAAAATTTCAGCTTCGTCTGGCGGTGATCAAACGCCTCGACATGTGAAAATGTACCGTACTGTACGCGTTTTACAAGTACAAACGTTTAATGTTGAAAACTGAAGAGTCGACGACTGTACCATATCTTAATAGATGAGAAATAATCAAGCAGTGAAATGAAATTATAATGTGGCATGGCGGCCTACTTGTATACGGACACGCCGGGGATCGTAAATATGTAGACACAATGGCCGTATTCGACTGGTCGTTCTTCGTTAAACCACGCCCACCTGCGCAGTGGTAAAATCCTACTTAACGAAGACGACCAATCGAATAGAAAACTGGTAAATACGCGACAAAACAAAATGGCTGCATAGTATACCGCGATACCCGCTGCGTTATGAAGGCTGCTTCGGATTGTGGCAGTATGGGTTTTTCGTAAAAAAATGTTTTCATCCAGTTTTTTAATTCTGTTAGCCTACAATTATTTTTTGACTTCAATGTGGGTACTGTAATTTATATTTTCTGAAATTTAATCTAAATTATGTTAACGCAAATGTTGTTGCTAAACTAACCAATCGGCCATATTTTTTTTGGTCACGTGCAGAACTTAACTCTGATTGACGCATTCTGGTTACGTTAATCTTCGTTGTCATCAAAATCTATTTTACGAACCAGTCGAATGAAAATAATACTCAACTCAAAATTCGTACTCAACAAAATGAACCAGACGAATAAGCCCAATGACTCCCAACAAACACAAATTCTTAAATTTAAGATGGAGTAAATAATAATATATAGGCCTAATACTAAATGTTCTATTCCATCGCGTAAGTATTTCCAAAAGTTCAAATGCCATGAGGCAGCTTCGTATCTTTTGAATTTATTGAAAGTTTTCATTTTGTTTAAAGTTTGTTTAAATACCGTACATTGGTGATTATATTTCATGAATACGTTCGTATTTACGGTTCAGTGCAAGTAGGTCCTTGATTGTTCCAAAAGTAAGTATTTCCAAAAGTTCAAATGCCATGAGGCAGCTTCGTATCTTTTGAATTTATTGAAAGTTTTCATTTTGTTTAAAGGTTGTTTAAATACTGTACACTGGGGATCATATTTTATGAATACGTTCGTATTTACGGTTCACTGCAAGTAGGACGTTGATTGTTCTATTAAATTGTCAATATTATGCTTATGAAATACCCAGTCGATCCTAAACGAAGTAGAATGTTCTGAATATCCTTTAAAATATTTGTTTTCAAATAGTTAAAAAGATATTTCTGCTGTAAATAGCGTAATGTTTGTGTAAAATATATGAGCATTTCATCAGGTGAAAGCCATCAGAAGGCTCTGTCTTTGGTTCCGATCAGGACACTTAAAAGTACCCCGACTAAATGCACTCAATTACAATATCTTGCACTGGGGCCCGTCACCACCTCCCTACGCCGCTGTCAAAAAAACACTCTAGTTTTATCATATAACTGACGAATGCATGCTGTTGAATATGAAATAATTATTATTAAGAAATAATATAAAAAGGTCAATTTTGATAAAATGTTATTTCTTGAATTATCATAAATGTGTATTGTTAGCAGTTTTTGGAATTATTTTTTGTTTGTTTTTGTTTTCAACAATAAGTTTGTTTACCCCCAATGTTTTGGTTCACCCATTTCAAAGCCTCTAGCTGGTCGAGTAGTCCAACGTTGCCGGGATAGTCATCATCTCCTGCGGGGAAAAATAGACATTGCAGCGGAGTTATATTTAGAGGTATATGTTCACCTTCACTATTCTCTATACAGGCCAGTAACCAGAATTCCTTAAGAGATTTTTTCTAGGATATTCATAATCCAAAAACATTATTGTTGTCATAAGATTAAATACTTAAATCTCAGAATGATACTTATAATATAAAGTATTAGAATAATTTATTATCTTCTTCGCATAATAATGTAAGCCTGTACCAAGGACTTTTAACCTTGCCTATACCCTGTAATTAGCAAATCAAATGTAGCTGGAAAACGATAACCTCTATTTCAAACAATATAGTTAGCATGTTAAAGTATGAATATAGTTCGACCGTACCTGTTGTTAGAAAACCATAAATGTTGAGCCTGTAATTGATGGTTACCACAATGACGTCGCCGATGGCAGCTAATACCACCCCAGAGTAATCGTCTGTTGAGGCAGTGCCTGTCAGGAAGGCCCCTCCATGAATGAAGAACATGACAGATGCGTTATGTGGCTAAAGGATAATAAAATAGTAATAAAAACTATGAGGTATTAAACAAATAATATGTTGGTAAACACAATGTATAATAATCTACAGTAAACATACTATTATATTTCAAAGCTATGCTGTTATTTAATGTAACTCATAAATGAATGGAATTTTGCTGATTTTGTACCTCTTACTCAGAACATAAACACATCATACATTGGGAATGCAAGTTTATTTCCTGAATTGATTTCTAGCTAAAATTAATTCTACCCTACTAAAATAATAACTGAACACCGAATCAAGGACTCCTTACCTTAGATTGGGGTACAAAGATGTTTAAGTACAAGCAATCATCTTCACCGCCACTGGACTGGATGCACATTGGACTATATTCCGTCGCGTTCAGGGTTCCCATCCAAGGCTCTTTTGGGCGCGGATTCTCAAAGCGCAAATTACCGACTGGGGGCTCGGCGTATGGAATACCCTTGTAGACATCGATATACTTATTGACACCTATGTACGAATCTTCTGAGAAAAGAATTGTCTTTCCTGCAACTTTTCCCAATGTAGTAGTTACTTGTGGAGATTGAGAGTAAACTAACGATATGATACAAGAAAACGTTAGAGCGTTGAAGGTTAAAGAAACCATGATGCTTGCCACGTCGTAAATGGACTAGTCTTCAATAACTCTTACACTATTCTAAGTGTAAACAGTTTTATTCACCACGATTAACCGCACACTAATAATACGTCTTCAGATCATGTTTACTCAGTAAATGAAATACGACGGGGGTTAAATTTAGACCTATTATATCCTCCATATAAAGTAAATTTAGATAATGAATGATATGTTCCATCATTTTAAATCACATATTTTTATTTTTAGGGTGAAGATTGTGTTAACGCGTTCTTACGAAGTTCAAACTGTGCAGTAAACTTCAGATTCTTGGTAAAAATATAAACTTGGATTTACACGTGAGCATTCACATGGGCTATTAGGCCTAAGCATATTCTCGCCTTTTATTAACAAATACTATGTCTTTGTAACCAATCTATGTTTACTCTCGGAAAGGTGCGGCCACACACGCCAACTTACATTACTCACATTAAATGCCAGTTAAAGGAATTGTTTGGTATAACCCAAGGCTAGGTGATTAAATTTTGGTGACCAACCGGCGTATAGGGGTGTGCATGAGGACCACTCAAAGGAAAAACGTCCCAGACCAGATATTTCAAAAAATAATCAAATGATATGTTCGAAACCTCCGTGAAAGGTTTAATCAAGTAACAAGGAAGAAATTGTGAAGTGCTGGTGACGATACAAATATTGGGGTGCATGTGAGGGCCATTAGGACCCAGACCCAAATATCTCTTGATTGAATCAAATAATTGAAAATGACCTTTCCATAATAGTTTGTCATGTTTTAATAAAGAAGTGTTTAAATTCTGGTCACGATCCGACGTTTGGTGTGGATATGAGGACCATTTAAAGAAAAGTTTACTGTATTAGACCTACCCGTAGGCTGAAAAAAATAGGTATATGATGAATATTTAAATTAGTTCAATTACAGTAAATGTGTTCAGCGTTCTATATAGTATTAATACAAGTAAGTAAATAAATCGTTTCTATTGGACTTTGTTTATTCAATAGCGATATTTCACATTGACCTGTGACGTCAGATGGAATGTCACAGGTGGAACTTGTATAAACAAGTAAGTCCAGTAGAAACAATTTCTTTACTTCCTTGTATTATATGAGTAGTGTGAAAGTGCGAGTCAGCGAGTCATGCGAGCCAATGTGCGAGTCATGCGAGCCATGCGAGCCATGCGAGCCACATTTAATTTTTTTTTCAGGTTATCCAGTTTTGCAAACACGTAGGCCTAGCCTATATTCTTTGGCCTAGTAGAGGCAAATGAATAACATACCGGGGAGCTTTGCCTGTGTAGTCCAGTCATGCACAGTACATATACTTTTGACTTTTTCGAATCGTCGATCCGAAAGTATGCAGCGCTGATAGATGTTGTTAAAATACAGATATACAGATACATACATACAGATATATTTATATATATATACTCTATTTATATATATATATATATATATATATATATATTATTTTATATATACTGTATTTATTTATATATTTTTATATTTATTTGTAATTTATATATATATATATTTATTTGTATATTCAGTTATATATATAT